ATTTCTCCAGCCAAAGGAATTTAACCCCATCGTTACTGGTCTTGTCTGCTTGTTTATATTCCTTTGGAAACTTGGACTCTCACCTCGTGGGCACAGGTGAGACATAACACTATTGGCTGTTGTCAGATTCCTATGGGGTTATGTAGGGGTTATAGCTGGCTTTATAGGCAAAAGAGGAAATGCCAATCCTAAGTATTTGTCTGAGCTAAGTTTGGTTGAAGTTTGGACTGCTCTGGGTATGCGTGTGTAATGAAGGGGCTTGTGTTCTGAAAGGATGTTGGGCAATTCCTATTGTGGCTTAATGGCTTTGCCCTGTGTTGGAACTTGAGTGAGGGCTAATCCTACCATTCTGCCTTTGTTCAGACTTTGCTGCAGGGAGTTTCAAAATATCCTGTCTTGAATGGATTTCTGCAATATTTGCTTTGCCTATGAATAGAACTATCTAGATATTTGTCTTCCTTTTTCAATAAGCTCTTTATCTCTTAAATGCTGGCATCTACTGTGGGCTATTAAGGAAAGTGGGGGTTGCTTTCTGCCTCTAAAAAACTTGTTCCATTTCTCCCTTTGGGGAAATATAATATTCTGCCTTTTTCAAAATATTCCCCAAAATATTTCATTCTTCTAGGAGGGGGTAGGTGCTGACTTTCTACACTGAGGATACTATAGTTGTGGATCCTTAGCTCTTATATTCTGCAGAACTTTAATGGACAGTGAAGTAACTGCCTTCTATGACTTCTTTTGAGGACTGGTGGGTGGTTTTTTTCTGCCAGCAAGGGCAGAGTGAGGGAAAATGAAACTGGTGGATTCTTCAATTTCTATATTACCATCCTGCATTATGTCTCTAGGAATGGCACTCCTCACCAGCCTTGTTCTGGAAGCACAGTAAAGCTCAGTGGGGGTGATGGAAAGTGCAATTGTGTTGACATTCTTTTCTGCCAACTCAGAGACAGGGAGGATGTGCATTTATGCAGCCATGAGGAAGCTCCCCTTTTCCTCTACTTTATTATCCTAATCAGAAGACTGACATCCTTAGGCTTTCTCTTTGAGTTTCTACTTAGGATGGGAAGGATAGAGAAAGAACCCACTTGACTGTTAGGACAAGAAAGTCAGAAGTATTGGCTTTCTGTTAGAGCATGTAACATCTGTAATAAACTTTACTTGTCAGTTTGGGTTTTAGTAGGTCCTATTGAGATGTGAATGTTGAATAAAATGAAGAATTGAGGGATTCTAACCAGGGTTGCCTCACATTTTTAGCCACACAGTACTGTTTTGGCCACAGACTTTCTACATTAAAGTTAATAGTCCTCCTCTGTATTTCCTCCTTTTATAGATTAGAGCTGTTGTAAACTGTTTTGCTGCTTGAATGTCATTTGGGGGGGGGGGGCACTTCTGAATACATGTAGAAAAGACATGCAAGAATGGAATGGGCCAGAAAGCATCCTTTTAAAATAGAATTGATGGCAAAATGTGATAGAGAAACATGAAAAAAACTACATTTAATGACCGTTACTCTGTGAATATTGGATGGATGGATGGATGGATAGATGATGTGTCATCAAGTCAGTACCAATGACAACCAAATTCACTAATCATGTACGACAAAAAGGGACTATAGAAAAAATTGGGCTTCCAGTTTATTCATCATCAGAGTGGAATCCGCAATTGTGCGCAGTTTCGCTCCGAGCTCACTTGCTGGAGGGGTGGTGAAGAAAGGGGGAATCATAAACTGGAAAAATGAGAAAATACCATCACAGGAGGAAATTATTAAGAAAATATTGGAATGTGCTGAAATGAGCAGATTGACATTTGAAATTAGAGAACAGGATGATAAACAATTTTATAAAGTTTGGGATCTATTCTATCAATGGTTAGACAACAAAGTATAGTAATGAAATATGTAGACTTTTAGAAAATACTAAATATATAAAGATGTATTCTTTTCTTATTATATCTACAAAAAGTTTTTAGGATAGATTTGGGATGATAATATGAATTGTCACAAAACAAATTAAGTAAAATATGATCATTTTCCAAAGCATGAATGAATAAATGTATAGGCAAATGATTGATTAATAATGATACCAATGTATTTAATATTGGATTGAAAATATGAGATCATATACAATCTAATTGTAATTGAAGACTATGAAATGGAAGCACAAAAAAATTTGTAAACCAACTGGCACACTGTATGTACATATATGAAAGATGGCCTGATGTTTTTATGTTTTGTTTGTTTATGTTTGTTTTAAAAACCAATAAAAATTTTATAAAAAAGATTAAAAAAAACTATAACGAAAAAAGAAAGAAAGGGGGAATCACTTGGAGGGTCGAAGGGAGCCACAACTCCCCTCCCTGACAGGAAAAATTCCTTCCAAAGGCAAGCTATAGGGGTGGTCTAAAATGGCTACCACGAAGACGAAGAGCAGGCCGGGAAACTAAGACTGTGCTGGAGCAGAGAAGCAGCAAGTGGAGTGTGAACCAGGCAAAATGCAGGGGCTTTAAGGTACCCCAGTATTAAAAAATAAAGGACTATTTTGGAGGAAAGTGTATGGAAGTGGCAACTAGAGAAAGTGAGAAGGAAATTGGATCTTATAAAAATGTATTGAATTATTGTAATGGATTAATTTGGAGGAGAAAATTCAAAGGAAAATACTTGAACACAAAAAAGGCTTGGAAATTAAATTGGACAACTATTGGATTTTTGGCACTCAAGGGGCATAATTAAATGCTGGAATTGAATGTGTTGAAAAGAAAAGAAGTAATAGCTAATAACTGAAATTAGCGAACTTAATAAGAGTACTATATTTAACAAAAAAAATAAAAGTAAAGGAAGGACTGGATTGTGGAAAAGAACCAAGAGCACCACCTGATGGTGCAGGGAACATTTCAGTGACTCTTTGAAAAGTGCTTGGTCTTTCTAAGAAATTGGACTTTGGAATTTAAAAGAAAGTAAAAGAAACTCCATTATAATAACATAAAAACTCTGGAAAGTAACTTTAGAATATTACAAAGGGGAAGATATTTGAAAACATTGTTATAGAACCACCCAGCGATTGTGGGAAACAGCTAGGAAAGGGCCAACTAGAAGACCTGGAAACAAAGACCTCAGGACATTGATTGTTGAAAATAAATTTAAAAGACACTAGCTGAAATAATATACTGGACTTTGGGATTGAATACATTTATTAAGGAAGAGGAAAGAAAAGAAAAAAAGGAGCAGGCATAATGGAGGAATTATTTGTTGAAATAAGATTGGACTTGCAAGATAGAAAGGAAATGATGAAAATTAAACTTGAAATGTGCAACAATGAATTACAGAAATTAGAAATGGTGACTCAGCTTGTAGAGGAACAAAAAAAAACAGAGGGGGAGGGGTTTAATAAAGAAGACACCAGCTTTGAAGAACAAAGGGAACAACAAAAGGGAGAATGGTTCAGAAAATTAAAAAAAAGGAGAGGGAAAAAGCAGAAAAGGGAAGTACAAAAGAAAAATCGAAAAAGGGAGAGATTTAATAATTAGAATGAGAAATGGAGGGGAATAAGAATCGGGGAAAGGGGAATTAAGAGAAAGGACCAGAAAATAAAGAGAAACAGGAAGCAAACAAGGATGAAAAGGAATTACATTGCTAGGAGAGTGAGAGATAATGGGTGAAAAAAAAAAGGATAGGGAAGGAGATTCCGCAAGGTAATATGTTGTGATATATAAGTATTGAAAATAGATAAGAATGTAACTGATATGGTTTTTTCTTTAGCCCTCTTTTTTCTCTTCTTTTTATTAAAGGATTATCGCTACATTAGACATGGAACTTAATGAAATAAATATGGAAATGGGAATTTATAATAAGAATATTATATATTTATTGATGATTAGTGATGTATGAGAAAAAGAAAAAAAGAAATGATGAAATGAGAATCATTATGGAAAGATTAATATCAGTTGCTATAATTGATTGATTAGATTAATATTCTTGTAATGTATAGATGATTTATAAGGTGATTGAGAAAATGTAATGCAGAATCTGACAAAAATATATGTATGTGTGATATATAGTAAATATGGAGATTGGTATTAAGGTAGAATGAAGATAGTTAGTTCGAATTATTAACCAAAGGGTATTAACCCAGGGGTGGGGTTGAAGATAGAATAAGGACTGATAAAATTGCAAATGTGACAGAAAAAGGTAAAATGGGAAATGAACATAGAAATGAGATAAGAATTTTAGATAACATTGTAAAATAAGATATGAGAATATCCTAAGAAAAATGAAACAAGCTATAACATGAATTGGAATTGGATAAGTTTAATACTTAATATTTATAAGGATAATGTGATATGAAATTGGATAAATAAAATGAATAGGTAACTATGGTCATGTTTGCATTGAGATGTGAAACCTGGAACCACACTGCTTGCCAAATGAGAATTTTTTGTTTAAAAAAATAAAAATTGGAGAGGAAATTGAATAATGAAATTACTAGGTATGTTTAAATGATATGGTGGTTGGCATTAGAAGAGAGTATTGAAAGGTTGAAAATAAGCAATGAAGGTTGAAAAGTTGAAAACAAGCAATGACTTAATGTGAATATGTGTATTTAGAGACATGATTGGTATTATTAACTTTGGTTATACTAAAATGTATGATATATTGATGCCACACTGTTTGTGTATTTTTGTGTAGGTGTAGATTGAAATAAAAAAACTTGTTTAAAAAAAGAAAAATAAAAAACTTCCAAAACTTACAGGGGAACATGTTGATCTTGTCATGCTAGTATATATTAAATTAACTATATCCATTGATTTTCTTTTGACTTTTTTGTATGTTATATGCTTGAATATATATGGTATATTCTTTTGCCTAACACAAAATGATAACACTTTAGTTGACTATCTGCTTCTGAGTACCTCAGTTTTATTCTCATCTTTGGTCAAGTTCTTGATTTGTCCTGTGGCTCCCCATATTGTCCTTAGTTTATAAATATATCCTGTTAATTTTCTTAATGTTCCTGCCTCCCTGCAGTCTTCTAATGAAGCAAAAGAAATTTGTCTACCATTTCAAGAACATGAGATGGGCTAAAGGCCGTCATGAAACATACCTTTGTTATGTAGTAAAACAGCGGAATAGTGCCACATCCTGCTCCCTGGATTTTGGATATCTGCGTAATAAGGTAAAGGTTTAGCTCACATTGAGTCTTTTCTAGTAGGGGCTTTCAACAGTGAAAGCAAGGGGAAAAACTACCTTAGACAGCTTGTGGTCAGGTAGCTCTAGGTTCCTGCATGTTTTATTACAGTACATCATTTTACTTATTCAAATACTGGTCTTCCTGTGAACCAGTGAAAGGGCTGTGCATAGAGAATAGCAATGCTTCACAAAGCACAACTGGAGTGAGTTCTTGAAATGCTAAAGCAGCTGTTCAAGGCAGCTATTGTATATATCTGTGTGCATGCATAGACCACACATCTGGGGCCACCAGCAAAGTCTAATGACATAGATGGGTGAAGAGAGCTTTGAAAAACCTTTGGTGGGTGCAATTATCATGCATTGAGGAGTATTAACATGCTTCATGAAGGGTTTATTCTGAATGCTTTGGAGAGCATTAGTATTTATATTTTAAATTATTTTATTATTCCATGGTTTTGCTAATCCATCACTTCCAGATTAGATAAATTGCAATATAATATTGATGATATAGTTGTGATTTTTGCATAAAAAATCCTACCATCCTTCAGCTATTTTTGGAACATTGGAAAGAATGATTGTCCAAAAGATAGAGGAAGGAACTAGAGGGATAGCCTATTTGAGAAATCAGATAGGTTCCTAGCCTACCTAGCTGACAACTTTGTTGTCCAAAAGGTAGAGGAGAGAACTAAAAGAATAGCCATTCTGGACAATTCTTACCAACAGAAAAGAATTGATAGAGGGAGTTGAAACCGCAGGAACCTTGGGTAAGAGTCACCATGTCATACTAGAATTCAACATAACACAAACACACGCAATAGAACAGTGATCACCACCCAGTGGGCTGCAGCCCACTGGTGGTCGATAAGAAAATTTTGGTGGTCCTCAGAGAAATGTCCCCCCAAAGCAATTAATCCAGGCTGCGCAAAAAACAAGGCTGTGCCGCCCACATAGCCCACCCACCCACTGGCCCCCACCCAGGGGTGGGGTTCAAATTTTTTAACAACCAGTTCTGTGGGCATGGCTTAGTTGGTGGGCATGGCTTGGTGGTCATGTGACTGGCTGGGCGTGATCAACTCAACATCACTCACATCGAGGCATGCATCTCCTTGCCTGGCCTCTCATGACTGTGGGGATGCTGCAACAGTCAAGTGTGAAAAACAGTCATAAGTCACTTTTTTCAGTGCCATTGTAACTTTGAATGGTCACTCCACACAAGCAAAGTTCCAGCAAAGGAGATTTAAAAAACCCCAGAGAAGTTCCAGAGACGGGAAGTCTAGTCCTGCCAAGAAAGTAATAAGAGTTAAAGGAGAGGCAGTTTCTGTAAGCAACCCCAGAATGTTTCCTTCCTGCCTTCCTTACAGGATTAGGCCAGTAATTTCTTCTAACAACTGGTTCTCCAAACTGCTTAGAATGTTAACAATCGGTTCTAGTGAATAGGTGCAAACCTGTAGAATCCCACCCCTGCCCCCACCCTTCAGCTGAGTGCAAATCTGTAAAAAGCAGCGCAGCCCTTGCCAGCCAGAACGAGGTAATGAGGCTGTTGCAGCAAGAAGGGGCTAGCAGCACAGGTGTGCTGAAGCTGCTATGGAGATTGCTGGCAGGTGCAGGAGTGCCGTGCTATTTGCATTTATGCAGCGCTCCCGCACCTTTCAACTCACCTCACCTGGCCTGGGCTGTTCCTTGATGGCAGCGGGCTATAGGGATGGCCCGTGGCAGGAAAAGTCCTGGCTGATGGTGGTTGGAGGGGGTGGAGTAGGCAAGTCTGCACTCACCATCCAGTTCAGAGTTCTGGAATGGGGCAGCATCATTGTCATCAGTTTTCTCATCCCACTCAGTAATCTGCTCTGTTAAGGGTGGGGCACAGCACAATGGCCAGGTGCTTGGAACCCTTCCTCTTCCTCCAACCTGGGCTCACTGCTGGGGGGTGGGGGCCTCCTCAGGAGATGCCTTGCCCCATGGGGAGAGCCACACGCATGCTCCAGGGAAAGGCTTCGAGGCCTAGAGGGAGGAACCCTTCTCTGCTTGGAAGTGGCAGGAGAAACCTGGCACTTAGACTCTGGAAGTCCTCTTGTGTGGAGGCCAAAGGGGGTGGGTGTTATTAGGAGCCCATCTTCCTTGGAGCTCTTTTAGTCCAGGCATCTGACCTTCGCTGCCAGCTTGTTGCAGGACCGACAGGAACTCTGGCTTGGCTTGAGCTGAGCGCCTTGGAAGCCCCATAGTTTGCCTCATTGCTGTTTGTGCAAGTGAAAGCTCGATCTTTTCTGGGCTTGATCCCCCCCATCCGCTCTCACTGGGGCAAAAGAGCAGAGATCAGGGAAGGCACAGGCACAGGGGGGTGTCAAGCCCATGAAAGCTTGAGCTCTCTGCTGCACAAACAGTGATGAGGCACACTATGGGGCTTCCAAGGCACTCAGCTCAACCCAAGCTGGAGTTCCCATCCGCAACAAGCCGGCAGCAAAGGTTGGATGCTGAGACCAAAAGAGTACCAAGGAAGATGGACTCCTAATAACTCCCCCTTCAGCCTGCACACAAGAGGACTTCCCAAGGCTAAGCTCCAGGTTTCTCCTGCCACTTCCAAGCAGCGAAGGGTCCCTCCCTCCAGGCCTCAAAGTCTCTCCCCAGAGTGTGCGATTGCTGGGCTCTCCCCCACAGGGCAAGGGCATCTCCTGAAGAGGCCCCCAACCCACCAGCAATGAGCCCAGGTCAGAGGAAGAGGAAGGGGCTCTGGGTGCTTGGCCATTGCGCTGTGCAGGGCAGAGCCCCAAGAGGGATGAGAAAACTCACAACAATGATGCTGCCCCATTCCAGACCTCTGAATTGGATGGTGAGTGCAGACTTGCCCACTTCGCCCCCTCCCACCACCACCAACCAGTACTTTTCCTTCCCCAGGCCATCCCTACAGCCTGCAGCCATTGAGGAAGAGCCCAGGCCGGGAAAGGCAAGCTGGAGGGTGTGGAAGTGCCGTGAAAATGCAAGTAGCACGGCACTCCTGCACCTTCCAGCCATCTCCATTGCCACTTCAGCCCGTCTGTGCCACCAGCCCCCTCTTGCTGCAACAGCACCATTACCTTGTCCTAGCCAGTGAGGGTTGCACTGCTTTTTGCATGTTGCACCACCCACAAATTTGCACATTAAAGGTTCCAGCCCCTATGGCGGAAATTTCCAAACCCCCCCCCCCATGGGCTGGTCCCATATTCCAGAGCTGCAGTAGTCACAAGACTGGCCCTTTGGTCATCCCAGAACAGCTCATCCATGGCAGACTGGTGCATAGGCCAGTCCTGTGACTACTGCAGCTCTGGAATATGGACCGACTTTCCCACCAACGTCAGCAAGCCACTGTCAGTCAAAATTCATATTAGTGTCCCATGGGAATTGAAATTATGAGTTTGTTGGTCCCTAAGGTCCAAAAGATTGGCGATTCCTGCAATAGAACATAATGATACCAGAGTCCTAGACTTTAAAAGAACTCATTTTAACAAGCTCAGAAAAAACTTAAGACAGATTCCTTGAATGAAAATCCTTAAGGGGAAAACAACTCAAGAAGATTGGGAAACTGACTTCCGGCTGTATTTCTGGTACCATTGGAAGTGAGGACTGTGAGCTCCATGGCCCCGCTTCGAGCTCACCCCCTCAGAGGGCTCCAATTGAAACCATAGCCACCCTGGAAGGGTGGTGAAGTAAAGCAGGACTGCCTGGCATCTCTCCTCCCTGACTTGGAACACCCCCTCATCTGAAGACAAGATGCAGCAGCAACCCAAATGGCTGCCATGAAGCTGGGGACAGTCTGAACACCTAAGACAGTACAGGAGCGAAGAGACGTGGAATGATGTGCAAACTGGGTGAGATAATACTTTTTGCTAAAATCTGGCCCCAAGAAATCTGAGGGGGATATATCTTTAGAACTACTTGTCATAGCAATGTACAAGCACTTTGAAAAAATACTGGAGAATTTAAGAAAAGGAATTTTGTTTAAAAAAAGAAAATTAAACTCTCAAAGCAAAAAGATATAGTATGGAGAAGGCGTATTAAATGCTGGAATTATGGTCCCAAACTTCTTTTTTAATTAATACAGTTTATTTACTGGTTTTACAATTTATAATTGAAAATAATCAAATTGGACTTGTCAACAATAAAACAGAAAGGCTGAAACAGATTGAAGCAGAGAGCACCATCTGCTGATGGAAGGAGAATTATACAACTTGTGAATAACTATTTCAAGGATTGAAAATATCTACAGAATTACATGTATCTACTCTCAGACCACTGGAGACTTGAATCTCCAACAAGCAAAGTAATAACTAGCAGTAAGCACAGGTTTGTTAAAAAGAGATCATGCCAAACCAATCTTATTTCATTCTTTAACATAGTGACTAAATTAGTAGACCAGTGAAATACTGTGGACATGATATACTTAGACTTCAGCAAGGCATTCAAGAAAATAAACCACAATCTACTTCTTGGTAAGCTAGAAAAAAATGGGATAGATAGCATCACCACTAGATGGACTTGCAACTGGCTGACAAACTGTACTCAATGAGTAGTCCTTAATGGGTCTAAGTCTACATGGAGGGAAGTAGGCAGTGGGGTGCCACAAGGTTCTGCCAAAGGCCCAGTCCTCTTCAATATCTTCATAAATGACTTAGATGAGGGAATAGAAGGGGAACTTAACAAATTTGCAGATGCTACTAAGCTGTCAGGATTAACTAACACCCTAGAAGATAGGCTCAAGATCCAGATGAATATTGACAAACTTGAACATTGAATCCTATTTAACAAAATGAAATTCAATATAGAGAAAAGTAAACTCCTACATTTAAGCAAGAAAAACCAAAAGTACACATATAGACTGGGTGAAACCAGGCTCAATAGCAGTAATTGTGAGAGGGATCTTGGAGTCTTAGTGGACAACCAGCTAAATATGAGCCAGCAGTGTGCAGCAGCCACCAAAGAAGCTAATGCAATCCTAAGTTGTATTAACAGAGGGAT